CTGCTGAAATAAAGCATTTCTGCAGGGTGGCCAAATTCAGATTTTTTTCTGAGAACCCAAGCCCAGGTGCAGCAGCGTGAGAACCTGAGGATGAGTATTTTCCACCACTGTTAGTGGGATGGGTCAACGAATTACTTGTTAGAAAGAAGCCTGTCTTACCTAATGCTGGACACCAAACAGCCAACCTACCCTACTGTGACAGTGGCCACAGTCTTCTGTGCCTCAGGTAGTGCAGGAAGTCCCAGACATATTTAATTAAATAACTGCTGTGACCAACTGTTTAGACTCCTTTAACCTTGCTGGGAAGCCTGAATGCTGGCAGATAAGAGGAACATTTAGGAACAGTTAGAGAAGTAGGTGCATAATGTCCACGCACGTGACCGCGCATGGTTTCATCTTCCAGCTGAACTGCTGACCTCGACTGTATAGTGATTTCAAGTGCGATACAAGCAACAAAATCTAATGACGGATATTTGGGGGTTTCTGGGGTTTTCTTAGGCAACTGGAAACCGACTTGGACTGATGGTTATGACTGTTTTTACCCTGCTGACTGCCATCATTATTGCATTCGTATATGGCTGGCAGTTAACTTTGCTTATCCTGGCCTGCGTTCCTTTCCTTATTGGCGCAAACGCTGTGAATGTTAGCTCTATGTCTGGTCATGCCACAAAAGATCAAAAAGCTTTGGAAGAAGCTGGAAGAGTAAGTTCTCCAATTTTAACTACACGGTTATGCAGTGAGATCACTTTATAAGGATGACACTGTAGCTATATCACAGCTGACTCAATTATCCAAGATAAATGAAGGAGGGGAGAGGAAAAGACAGGACAGGGTGGAGGGCAAAGGGAATGTTTACACGTCCCTAAGAAAAGCAAAACATAGATAACACAAAATGTCAATAAATTAGGCCATAAAAACACATTTGAAAGCCTCCATGGTGGGTTTTTGGGCAGGGTCAGCTGTAATGGCAGTAGCACCGGGCACTGGTGTACCTTGTACTGAGGGCGAGCGGCATAGCTCTGTGCTGCTCTATGCCACAGCCGAGAGCATGGCAGGGCTGAGCCACTGAGCCCTGACATTGCTATTTTTTTATTCCATCATAAAATTTAAGCCATTAATGTGCATAATGAGGGGTATTGTCTTCATTCAGCTGATAAAGCTCTTCTAGGAGACAGTACTCCATGCAAAAGTGCAAGCTGCGTTTGGATGATTGGGGTTTGTTCCTAAATTACTAAATAAGGTTTAATTCATTGGGATCACAACTCATGGGTTAAGGCAGGGGCTGCTGATGCTTCCTGTGTGCTGGCCCAATGCTGTGAACTCAAATATGCTGTTGGCTTCAGGCCTCATCCTGTCTTGTGACCATGGGGTGAATAATCTTGTCCCTCTGGGCTTTTCTTCACCTGGTAGTAAGACCTGGATCTCGTCTCTAAAGCAAACACTTTCTGATCTAAAATAATAAATGCTAGGGAAGAGAGAACGTATTTGGGAGGTATGTTGTAAATTGCAGTTGTAAGGACTTACCTATTTGTTTTATCTCTAATTTAGATTTCAACAGAGTCAGTTGAAAACATAAGAACTGTAGCTTCACTGACCAGGGAAGAAGCATTTTATGAAAGATATGTTAAAAGTTTGAATGGTCCATATAGGTAGGATCTTTTTCTTTAATAATTCTTTCTTTGTACATTTTAGTCTTTCAGTTTTACTGTTGTCATGGTTTGATACATTTTTTGCAAACTATCTGATATCCACAAGATCGGGAAGGATATCTATAGCAATTTACGTAGTTTTGAAATTTGTTCACTTGTTATATTTTAATATATATTCTTAAATGCAGAGTGAAAAAACATTTGCAGGATTTGCTTTTCCATCATGTAAACGGTTTATAAACTGCATTTTATGCTTATGTGTCTCAGAATACCGTGTTTGATTGTGTATCATCCAGTGAAATGCATTCCAATCATCGAATTTCAGATTCGAAAAATCTAATTTTTCTTTCGTCCTTTGAGGGAATTCATGTAAAAGGAGGAGTTGAAAATAATGCGTTGCATAATCAGCCAAAACAGAGTTAAAACTCAGTGTCTAGTGAACTAGTAATACCTCCAGATATGGGCAGGATGCTTGCTTGGACCGTCAAAGGTCTCTGATTTACAGCTCGGACTAGAACGGAGATTTTCGTTTCTTCAGAGAGCATCCTAAACCATGAGGGCAGAGGGTCCTCCGGGCTCTGATTCAGTGTGCATTCAATTAGCTGCATGAAATGAAACTTCTCCAGAAGGATAGATTGAGAAATCGAGGCTTAGTCTGAGCCCCTGAGGGATACCCAGCAGTGCGTCCCTGCTCTGAATCGGGATATGAGGTCTCTGCTCGGATGAGAAGACCTGGCAGAAGCCCACAGGCAGCTCTTATCCTGGGCTGGAGCCTGCTTATTTTCTTAATAATATGGGTCATATGTGGTAGTTAGTAAATTTTATCCTTTTCTTTAACTGCTCTAGTGACCTGCCCTGCTATAGAAAAGCAAAGGAGGAGATTCAAGATAGCATAACTGAGGATGAAGGATCTCATTGCTCTAACTTTCTGTCCTAAGGGCAGATCCATGTCACGATGCAGGATGCTTTTAGGATCTGGCAGGGCTTGTTTGTGAGTGTGCATATATTCTGAGCTGATTTGTTGTGTTTTCAGGGGGTAAGCTGTATCGCTTAAAAACTTTAACACAGAAATCTGGCCATCCCCCAGTCAGTGTCTGCTGTTTTGGTTTTACAAGTTATTTACGGAAAGTCTCTTCCTTTATCAGAGATGCTTTGACAAAAGCTCCTTTGCGTGGATTTGTCTATGGAGTAGCTCAGTCTGCAAACTACTTCATTAATGCAGCAGTCTACAGATTTGGAGCATGGCTTATTGCTCATTGTCTGACCAACTTTGAAAATGTATTTATGTGAGTATGCTTTATAAAATGTAAAAAAAAAATCGATACACATGATAATGATTTCAATACATGCAAATTATTTCATCTAATTACAGAGGTAATGGGGAACAGATATTCAGGAATTCAGTCTGGCTGGGAGTGCAGTTTGGGCAGAAGGACTGCTTTGGGGAAAGGTGTGGTTTTGGGCAGCGAAGCAGTAAGCGTGTGCCATGCTCAGCATGCCCACTCGGGAGAAGACTTCGCTGCTTGACGTTCCTTTAAGGCAGAGAGCATTGCATGGAGGAGTGATGTGACACCACTGCTCATCTATAAAGTACTTTTAGGAATAGGCAGAACTTCCTAATACTGGATGATTTGGGGAGTGGAGAGCTCCAGAAATGTCATAATCTAAAGATGCTAAAAAATTTTATTTTGAGGGTTTATTTTAAACATGAGGAAAAAAATGCATTCTTCTACCTGAAATGAATGGTGCTTTGTTTCTTGTTTTTTAGTGTCTTCTCTTCCATCGTATTTTCAGCTATGAATGTTGGTCAATCTGCTTCTCTGGCACCAGATTATGGCAAAGCTAAAATGTCAGCTCAAAGAATCTTCCAACTTTTGGACAGAAAACCTCTAATTGACAGTTACAGTGAAGAAGGTGAAAAATTGGTAAGGTCTTTCTCAGAAAAACCTTGAAACAAACTAAATTACTAATGTTGTGTTGTCTTAAAAACTGTGTTCATCATTGTTGGTTTTTTAAGGTGTCACAAAAGACAGGTATTATGTAAAATAGTGGGTACTATCTTGCTATTTATAATGGGCCAGATTATTTTTGGTTTTCAGTCAGAAGTGTATATCCTTAAATGTAGTCTTGCTCTGAGTGAACTAAAACAAAAATATTACTTTTCATTCTACTCACCCACATCTTAAATGATTTCAGGGAAGCTCTGACAATGTCAGTTCCACTCACAGTTGCATTGCCTTTGTAAGGGTTTACAAGAGAAATGAAATACAAATGCATTTTTCTACTGTTTAGGTGGATAAGACAATCTAGTTTCTTCAGATACAGAACAGTTTTTCCAAAATCCATCCTCTTACAACCATGGAAACTCTTAAAAGTAAAAATATATTCTTGTGAAGTCAGAACTGTCTTAATGAATAGTCTGTTTTGCTTTAAAGTTGCGGCAGGGGAGTCAGGGGAACAACAAACCCCCCCCCCCCCACCACCCCCCCCCAAAAAAAAAGACAAGAAAGAAAAAACCAAAAACAGTGTCAAAAAAATCTCAAAATACTTCACCTCTAAACCAAAATTGTCATTAAGGAAACTGATGTCAGCATTTGTCAAATTTCTGCATGAAATGCTTTCAGTTTACATGATCTGGAAGGATTACATTTGCACACCCATCTAATTTTAAAATGAACTTCTTGTGTAGGATTCAGATAGTAGCCCCGATCAGGGAGCCATAATCTGGTTTCTATAACTTTAAGCTCACACACGGGATTTTCAGCCTTTAAAGTTACGAGCACATTTACGTGTCTTCTTGAACCAGGGCCCTCCAGCACAGATGCTGAAAGATTTGGCAGAAGGTCCCTGGTAAAATAAAACATAAATGAAAATATTTCCAATATAGGCTGGACTCGAATACTGATGATGCCTGTGACTTCTGCAAAGCCAAGCTTTGAGCTCGTTAAATGAGATCATCAGCTGCTGTGAGAGCACTGTGCTAGTGGTGCTGCTAGTATGTATGTAGGGCTGACTCCTGCCCTAAGAGACAGGAGAGGCCTTAATGTGTGCCCCTTTTTTCCACTTGTGCTTAGAAATCAGCCTGGCTAGAATGGCTGATTAACAGCTATCGTTGCTTTTTAAAACACAGTTTGTCCTGCGTGCCTGTAAATCACCGACTGAAGAATGGAGCTCTGCTGTTTTATAGCTGATCTTGACCTTGTGTTACATTCGTTCAGACTGTGCTACCTGCAGTGTGAGATCAGGAACGCAAACGCTATAGGTTACAGCAAGAGTAGAAGTGCCTCAATTGCATGTGTCAGAAATGAAAAATATTAACCTTGTTTGTCTAAAGATATTCTTTTCAAAGGTGAAGTGAAAAATAGATAAGAGATGCAGAAAACTGTTTCTTCAGAAGGATCTAGCAACTAACATTTGCAGACCATCACATAAATAATGATAGTACGCTCAGTTCAATATGTAATTTAAAAGAAGGACATCAAAAGCAGTTTTGAAAACATCTTCCCAAACTTTCTTGTCGGTTCTCTCACTTTAATAACAGTCTTAAAAGTGTTATTATAGTTAAAGCTAATAAATGCTAATATGAGCACGTGAACTTTCTATTACTTTTCAGAGCAATTTTGAAGGCAACATTGAATTCAGAAACATCCATTTTGCATATCCAACAAGGCCAGAAGTTCAAGTTTTGCAAGGACTCAACATGAAGGTTAACAAAGGACAGACTCTGGCATTAGTAGGAAGCAGCGGCTGTGGCAAAAGCACGTCCATTCAGCTCTTGGAGAGATTTTATGACCCTGCGAAAGGACAAGTGGTAAAAATAGACTCGTGTAGCTATTAATAACAATTAAATCTACAGAACTCTCTATATTCCAAGGTTTCAAAGGCTTTAAACAACACTAGCAATATCTCTGGAGAGGTGCCTTTTTAAGAGGTGTGTGTTACTGAGGTTGTGGCTCCAGTGGAGCTGTAGACAACATCAAGACCTCTGTCATTGCATGTTAGACACACATGCCAGCACTGGTACCCATGTTGGCATAGTGCAGCAGCTTGAGGTTCTGGTCTCACTGGGGAACAGAATGATGGGGTCAGATCATGTTACCTCCCCAAAGCTGCTCACAGCCTGGTCACACAGGGGCTTAACGTTCATGTCACTTGCTTGTCAGTGTGTAAGTCATCTTGTTAATATGAATTCACACATTAGGGACATAGATGCATAGTCCGGGTAATATGAATGTAATCCCAGAGAGATGGTACGGCCTGCTGTTGGAGGGTTGCAATGGGCTGTTTGATGTGGTCTCCATTCATGGGTATAGAAAGTCCAAGGAGACTTCCTTGGAGGTTTTAAGATTGCATTAAAAGCCTACAGCTGTGAATATTTATTGTTGTGTTCAGCTTCTCAGAGTGAGGCTTTCCAGTGAGGTTCCTGGTGCTTCTTGTGGTCAGTCGGATGGGAAGGGCTGCAGGGACAGCTGGTGATCTGCTTTCTGTGTTTCCAACTGCTGGGAAAAGGAAGCAAAAACACACACAAAATGAAAAACTAGTGAAAGGAAATATTCCACCTATACTACTGGTTCTTTTCCATTTTGCATGCAAAATTTTCGTGATTCCAGCTGGGAATCTAACACATAACAGGCTTCCTTTTACAATTCCTCTTTCCTGATTACCGTTTGTATCTGTGGATGAGCTCTGTAGTCAACTTGGCATCATTTTTCTGTTGCTTTTTCTAGTTAGCAGATGGATTTGATACCAAATCTTTGCATTTACAATGGCTGAGGTCCAGACTAGGCCTGGTGTCCCAGGAGCCCATTTTGTTTGACTGCAGCATTGCTGAAAACATTCAATATGGAGACAACAGTCGGGTGGTTAGTCAGGAGGAAATTGAAGCAGCAGCTAAAGCAGCAAATATTCATACCTTCATTGAAAACCTGCCAGAGGTAAGAGATAGTGACCTTCTCTTCACAGTGAGATTAGATTTTTGGAGTGACATGGAGAAATCTAGGCAATGCTTACTTCAGTCAAATCAAAAAGAAACATTTCTGTTTCCCTTAACAGGAAAAAAATATGGAATTTATGTTTTAAAATGTCAGTACGTTTCAAGCTTAAAATTCTTGTTAGTTTGTTCAAAAAAAGTCAATGTTCCTATTAATATAGTACTATGAGGAAAAAATAAGAGGACACTTTATGTACAAACAGGTCATCATAATTTCTTGATGTTTTCCCTTTGAAAGCTGAAACTCCTCGAGTTACTCTGAGACAGATTTTTTTTAAAATTTTTTTTCTATAATGATTCAGAAAAACTAAATGTTCTTCATTTCTAATTGGATGAACCATGCATCACAAGTGTTTCTTAACAAATACAAAGGGGCAATAAATCAAAAGTGAATGACATGGCTTTTGACCTTTACGCCTGCCAAGAGTTTGGTTCCAACAAAGAAAAATGCTTTGATGGTTTGTTTTCACTGTAGTTCTGAGTAACTTGAAAATGATGTAATGATGCCGAAAAATGTTTCATCTTCATTACTACTAATAATGTTTGGGACTCTTTATTCACAAGTAATGCAAGATCAAGTTCTTCATGTATATGTTAGTAAACGTGGAATCTCTAGTTACTCTTACAATCATACGCTTATACCATTCAAGACCTATTCCAGCCTTTGGGGAATATATATGAATATATATATTCACTTAAATTACGTATATATATATATATTCACATAAATATATGTGAATATATGTGTATAACTCTTCATACTAGAGGTGTTTATAAAACCTTAGCTTTATTAAAACCACTTACACTATTATTTTCTTCTGAGATGGAAATACCTAATCATTGTTATAGCCACACATAAAACATTAAAAACATTACTTTTCTAATCTTCCTTCTCTAAGAGTATTCACAGGCCTTCTTTTTTAATTTTTCACATCCAGAAATATAATACCCGGGTGGGTGAGAAAGGAACACAACTTTCTGGAGGTCAGAAACAAAGAATAGCAATTGCTCGTGCTCTGGTTCGTAATCCTGCCATTCTGCTTCTGGACGAAGCTACCTCTGCTCTTGATACAGAAAGTGAGAAGGTGAGTAATGATTGTTATGTGAAATATATATGTCTATGTACAGGGCTAGTTGCTTTCTGTAGAATAAAATCAATGCAAATATGTTGCAAATGCTCAGCTGTGAAACAACAGGGCAGGTGTATCATGGTAGCTTTTTTGGCTATAAGTTGGGAATTGAATCACAGTAGGAAGCTGAGCGTATCTACTCAACAAACAGGTAGAAAACTCAAAAAGTAGAAAACACCATGGGGAGCTGATTTTATTCAGCTGTCTTCCTGTTAGCTATATTTGATGGTAAATACTGAATTTGTGTTCTGACCCAAACTGCCTAAGAACCCAATGTCTCATGCTCATTTGTCAGCCTCACTGACCTCAGTGATAAACCCTGTTGAGTGGGAGTCTCGTGTATGCCCTAATCTGTATATCTATGGGAGATATATTCAGATGACAACAAAGAGAAAGAAATCAAATGTGTTTCCTATGACAAGTGAAGGCTTTCTAGATGCTAACAGCATTTTCATGCCATCTGTGTGCAGATCGTCCAGAAAGCTCTGGATAACGCCCGGCAAGGTCGAACCTGCATCGTCATTGCGCACCGCCTGATGACTGTACAGACTGCAGACGTCATTGCAGTGATCCAGAATGGCAGGGTGGTTGAGCAGGGCACCCACAGCCAGTTACTGGCAAAGGAAGGACACTACTATGCCCTTGTAAATGCCCAAGTCTCTAATTAATAGTTTGCAGATTATTTTTTTTAATTATTTTTTTTTCTGTGAAGACATGAAAAGCTTACAGAAAATTACCATTGGCTGTGTCTGTGCTGATGGAGCAGGGACCATATGTTGCAGCCTGGTTGCTGCGCCCGATATAGCCCTTGCCCCACACACCCATGGAGGTGAGCAGTGCATGCCCTGGGGTGAGTCATGGAAGGGGCACAGCGGAGTCCCAGGGGCTGAATCTGCTGGGAAATTGTGTGATCTGGAGGGAGCCAGACCTTGGGTAGTCTCATCCACACCGTGGCTTAGGTGGGGCACACTACTCTCGCTGTCTGCCCAAACCCTGGCCTGTATCAAGTGCCATAAACCAAGGCAGTACCAGCGTTTGACACTGGTTAAGCATCATGGATAAGCAGTGAGCTGGTGCTTGTGCTTGCCCCTTGGGTTTCTTCATCAGCCAGATGCAGCCATAAAATCATCTTAATTAAAGATTACTGTCAATTCTTACTGACTGCTGAGTTCCAAATAAACGCATTTGTATTAAATCTAGAGAGAAGTGGCTGGATGTGTGGGTTTGTTGGGGGTTTTCCCCAGTTTATGCCACGTTTCTGATACTATGATGCTTCACATGTTTCTTGAGACGCAATGTTCTATATCAGACAATAATTGTAATAGTTACAAGCTTTCCGTATAAACATAAACTGACATAAAATATACTATTTTTTTTGTTTAGCGTTTTTCAATTGCTGACCTAACAGAGTTTAATTGCTTTTTGCATCCATCAGGGTAATATCAAAAGTCTTGCAGGGGAGCTAGGACGGCTTCTTTTGGAGTGGACTCACATCAGCCATGTAAATAGTTGGGTTTTTTTTTTTTAAAAAAAAAAGTTAAAAAGTAGTTCTCAATATGAGGTCTTTTATTTTGAGTAGATATGGTGCGTAGGGACATGGTTTAGTGGTGGACTTGGTAGTGTTAGGTTAACAGTTGAACTTAATGATCTTAAGGTTCTTTTCCAACCTAAATGATTCTATGAATAATTTTAAAGATTGTTTGAAATGTTGGCAAAACTCATTTACACATGTGCTTTAATAACTGATTATTCCTCTGATATATTCCTCAGGGTGCTGCAATACATCATTCAACAGTTGAAGAATCTGTACTGTGTAGTCAGAGTGACTCAGCAGCTGTTTTTTTTGGCTGGTTAAACCCAATTTTAGCATTTTAATTTTCTAAGGCTTTGCACGTGGCTTTGGGTTAGGATTTGTGGCCTGGAGCAACCTGCAGTACTTTATAATTTCCAGATAACTCTACTCAATTGTAACAAACAAAACTTACAGTAATGACTATCTCCTTCGCTCCTTTCAATTGTTTTCTGGCATCAGAATTCATGAGGGGATAAAACACACAAAAGAAAACAAATTCTGGTCTCAGCTTTGCCAAAATAAATACAGTCACTTTCCCTTACATGGTTTTTCTCAGGGACTGTTACAAAAGGAGTTATCACCCATTCAGGCACCCCTGACCCTGTGACCTCTTCGCTTTCTCACGATAGGCAGATACTACCGGACTGCTGCCCTCATTATATTCCCAATTATCCAATGTGGGCTCTGATTAATTCCCACCTTCCCTGTTTTGTTTCTGCACTGGAGTTAAAATTACAAGCAGTAGAGTTTGATTCTCAGTTTTGAAAA